CCCACAGCCAAGGCTAAAACACAAGGTAGGCATATCGAAGAAGCTTGAGGAGATTTCTCTCTCTCTTTCTGTCTGTCTGTCTGTCTGTCTGTCTGTCTGTCTGTCTGTCTGTCTCTCTCTCTCTCTCTCTCTCTCTCTCTCTCTCTCTGTGTGTGTGTGTGTGTGTGTGTGTGTGTGTGTCTGTCTCTTTCTTTCTATCTATCTATCTATCTATCTATCTATCTATCTATCTATCTATCTATCTTTCCATCTATCTATCTATCTTTCTATCTATCTATCTATCTATCTATCTATCTATCTATCTATCTATCTATCTATCTGTCTGTCTATCTATCTATCTATCTATCTACTATCTATCTATCTATCTCTCTCTCTCTCTCTCTCTCTCTCTCTATATATATATATATATATATATATATATAATATATCCATCTATCCATCCATCCCTCCATCCATCCGTCTGTCTGTCTGTCTGTCTGTCTGTCTGTCTGTCTGTCTGTCTCGCTCTTTCTTTCATTTCTCTTTATATTTCTAATTGAAGGATCTCATCCCTTTGACACATCTCCACAGATTAAGGAACAAGGCTGGAGTCAGTGACCAGGACAGCAGTTAGCCTATTTTTGCACTGCCACGGAAAAAGACACCAAGCAGCTTCCTCTTGCAGTTGAAGAAGAATTGTTTCGTCCGGGCCGTACGCTTGAATGTCCGTGATATCGTATACCAGATCAGGCACTGTCAATCATTGGCCGCTACTCTTTGCTCTCTGGTAAAAAATAAACAAACAAATAAATAAACAAAAATCAATCAATCAATCAATCTATCGATATTATAAGTAAAAAAATAAATACATTTAAAAAAATATATAAATAAAATAAATAAATAAATAAATGAATAAATAAATAAATAAAAAGATTTTTTTAAAAAGTAAAAAAAAAAAGATTAAAATAAATAAGTTGCATCCACTGGATGGAAAAGATGGGCGCACAAAATGAAAGGCCAGGCACATCCAGTCTTATCCAGTACAGTCCGCACTCACCTGTCCCTCCTTCAAAATGGGAAAAAAGTTTAAGTTTAACTCCCGGGGCCTGTGCCACTGACTGGAGTGTCTTTAAGCCTTTCTTAAAGAGGTTGGGGGGGCATCGGAGTACTTATGCACAGAGAATTGTAATTGTAAGTGGGCTGATTCATAATAATAATAATAATAATAATAATAATAATAATAATAGTAATAGATAGCATTTGTATAGCGCATAACCCCGCTCGAAAGCAAGCTCTATGTGCTTTACACTATATTATTACCCCAGCAGACCATAGAACACTCAGAAACATTCTCAGCTTCCCGGGAAGCATACAGTGCACGCAGCTGATCAAGCGCTCAAACACTAACAAACTGACAAGATCTTTCACTGTCTATAGCCGGGTACCCATTCCCACCTGGGTGAAGTGAGGAAAATTCGTGTAGAGTGCCTTTCCCAAGGACACAACGTAGGGCCCCTGACAGGATTCGAACCCACGGCCTTACGGTTGCGAGTCCGAGAGCCTAACCACTAGGCCACAGATGCCAATTCATCAATGCCACGCTCATAACTGAGCCTGAACTGCAACAAGGAACTGCTGATTTTTCTTCTCTGTTGGCATCCACCCCTCGGCGCTCATATTATTAGGACCTTATGCAGCGCAGTAAAACCTCTACTAAAACAAACAAACAAACAATAGGTCTAACTTAAACACCCCTATCAAGACTATTAGGTTATTTAATGTTCCAACTACCTGTAGAATCAAATGGTATGCTCCATGACTCCATGGTGGACTATAATTACGCCGGAGTGCACGGTCTTGGATACCGTACTTAAATTATAATGCAAGTCTATAAACTACGGCGCGATAAAAAAAAAATTCGTTGCACAACTTTTCCTCAAATATCTATTTTTCCATAACAATTGTGGCTAGACTCTAAAAATTAATTTTCTCCATGAATTTATATAAAATGCTATAAATCTCCGTCACACGAAAATGTGATTGTTCACAGCTCTTTATATATATATATATATATATATATATATATATATATATATATATATAG